ATAATGACCCCAATCTGAAATTAGGTATTTGGGTCAGCTTTCATTTGCACATTGTGCCTGGGAAGGGGAATTATCTGATAGTATGTAACTTAAGGATAAAAATGCAATTTCCAGGGTATTAAAATGTAAAAAGTTCATACTTCAATAACTGAATAGCGATTAAGAGATTTCTGAGAGGATGACGTATATCAGTGCTGTTGACAACAAGAGACAGAACTGTTCAGAAGATGAATGCTATTTGCCCTCCTAAAATCAGAGCTGTTGCTGCCTTTAATCTTTCCTTTCACTAATTCAGAAGTGTTATACTCCCACATTTCTGTTTTAGGACTGAAAGTACTGATGCACTGAATTTCTAAAATTCTTTTCTTTTTAAAATCCATAATTGTTTTATTAAGTTCAAAAACGCATCTTTTGAGCTTCTTAATGATTTCTTTAAATGTAAAGCCTACAGCAGCAAAGGCAAATTTTCAAATTAATAATAGCCATCTGAGTTTATTTACTCAAGTAACTTCCTCTAAATCATATTGATATTTCTAAAGAAGGCAGTTTAATTTCTTGGCTAGTAAAATGAAATGACAATGTTAAATAGAATATGAACTGTTTTAATAGAAGTCATCAGAAATGACCTTGAAAGCCAAGGACGCATTGCTATATTCTGTGTATTCATTTTCTCAGAGTAAATACTGTGAGGCACTAGGCAAGAATATTTTATGAAGATGGGTTCTGAAGTGTATAGAAGATATACGCATAATCTGGGGTTTGTTTTAGAATCTGATAAAGTGTTGCTTTGAGATTTTGGCTGTAACTGACCAGAATACAAAAATACTGCCTTTCTGTCAGGTGCAGGGCAGTAAACCAACGTAGAAGGTCAGATAGGGAACCTGGATGTCATAGTTGGCCTTACCTTCTTCAGTGAAGAAAAGTCATGATTTGTCTGTCCTTTTCTGCTCAGGAGGCTGCGGTGGGGACTGTGTCCATGTTCACACAAATATCCTACAAGGCTCTGCAATGACATACCATTTTCAAGGACTTAGCCTGTGCATCCAAATCACACAGCTGGAAGTCATGTCAGGTAGTGGTAACACTGATGTTGTATATAGCTGATGCGTTCAGTGCTCTATTAATCTCAATCAAAGCACTGATGCTTTTTCCAGTAATATCTGTTTTATGTACCTTGTTTAAAAAAAAAAAAGAAAAAGCATGGGGACCTTGGAACTTTTTCTTGTTCCCATGAAAGTGAGAACTATGACACCAGTTCCCATTAGCCTATGAGCTAGTTTGTGTCATTAGCCTATGAACTAGGCTAATGACACAAACAGTTTTTTAGGGGATTATGTGAGGAACCTTGAAGCAATACTGCCAAATCCCAACAGTTAGATTTCCTCCCACTGACAACTTGCCTTTGAAGAGATGAAGTTCTAGAAAACATACTGAAGCAGTGAGTTTAAGAACATGGGCTACACAATTCCCCATAATAAGAAATATCTAACAACGGAATACAGCTAGTGTCCCTCTGAGACACCAAACCTTAGCAGAAGGCTGAGTAAATAAAGGATTAGCTACCACAGGGGACAGTGAGGCAGTGAAACTAAGCTAAGAAAAGAGAGGTGTTGCTACCTCATTAGTTTCAGGTACCTAAAGTAAGGGTATGCTTATTTGGATTGTCCTAGATAAACTCATGGGTTTAATAACTGAGATTTTTTGTTAGTCAGATTTAGTACAGAGGTTCAGACAGGAACTTTGAAATTTGGAAAGGCAAAAGAGAAGATATTTGTGATGGTTTCTATTGTGGGGCTCTAGCACAGTTTGCAGCTCTCATCAGGTTGACAGTAGAGGAATCTCAGCACGTTTTGCCTGGGAGTAGTAAGTTTTGCCTGGCATGGGAGGGTTGTGAGGGGTCTAAGTTTCTCCAGCAGTGTGGGTATATGTGAGAATTTGCAGAAAAGAAAATGTTGCGTTTTCTGTTTTTCTCTTTCTCTCTCCTTTTATGTGCTTGTGTATCACTTTAAAGGAAGAAAGCAATAGCAACAGTATGAGCTACTTTAAGTTTTTTCTTTCTCCCCAGAGGGAGAGATACTGCTTTTTTTTCTCAATTAAAGTAACCTAAAATGGAAGTATTTTTCAATGAAAAATTCCATGCAATCAAAGTGAAAGTGGAATATCATTAAAATGAGATAAAATTTTCAGTTCGCAGTTTTATATATTTTAAAAGGTTAAGATATTTAAAATGAAGTTACAGTTGAAGCTAAACCAGAATTAATTTAAAACAGTTTCCTAATGCATTTAACTATTTAATGGGATAACAGAATTTTTCTTCACTTCTAATTCTTTTGCATATGAGGTGTGTCCCATATGTAAGGCAAATAACCCAGTTAATTGATTTCTCTATTTTAAGAGTTCAGAGGTCTAATATATATTGTAGGCGTGCCTATACTGACTTTTAGTGGGCCAGTGCTGCAGTTCATAGGCTACAAGAAGTTTCTGATGGGGAGTCTCTGTATTTATAGCAGACATCACAGGCCCACTTCTCCAGTCTGTCTAGGTACACTGAATAGCCACACTGCCCTCCAGCACTGACTTTAGCTTCTCAATATAGTATCTGCAGCAAAGTTTCTGAGAGTGTGATCTCTCCCATCATCAGGGAAGAGACTGTTTCGCAGTGGCTTGGCACAGCAGGTGCTCACACCTACGTGCTTGTGCTGTGCAAATAACTGCATGCTGGTAGCAACAATATGTTAAAAGCTGTTACACGGAAGTATGAAAATAATTGCTTTTGTTGTCAACCTCTTTTGCATTAAAATAAAGCTTTCTAGTGTATACCACATTGCAAGCCTTCTTCATCTTAAAGCAAAACCAAGAATAACAAGGAATTTTTACATAGAAACATTAGTACATTATAAAAGAGACAACTGAGAACTAATTCTCTCTATGGATGCAGGGGAAACTTCTAAACATTTATGCTGCTAAAGGTGTTGACAGCTTTAATCCTTTTACAGTGAATTTGCAGTTCCTCTATATGTGAGTAGATGATAAAACTTGTAACACTGCCTCTGGGCTATCCAATAATATATCACCATAGTGGTATTTGAAAAGCACTTCCAGTTCTATGTGTTAATAAGAATACATATTATATATGTTCACATATGAAGTAATTTCTGTGTTTTACATATATTCCAGCGTCTCTAACTTTTTATTCAACATGTGAAATGCTTCATCTGCCTTGATCTGGTGGGACCCTGACCTAGCTGTATAGGCTAGGTAATGCAGCAGTGCTCCTCAGAGGAACAGCACATATTAGCGTAAATATGGCCATATTTTAACATGATTGTATGATTTTTTTTTCAGGTAGGGCAGAGATTCATTCAGGTCTTTAGCTCATGACACAGAGTAGTAATGACAGAAACACTGCCCCAGGCTACAACAGCATCTCTGATTTTGGTGAGAGATCCTTAGCAGAAAGGTGATAATTCCTTTTTAGAGGCTCTTCCTGTGCTTTCCTCTCTATATAGGAAACTGCTTATTAGATAAGTATGAAAGATTTATCCTACAGAAGCATACCTACCCTATTTACTTTATTGGAGATTCAGCTCTCATTTACATAAAACTTATTTTTATTGAATCCTGCTAAACTTTTGTTTCAATGATGTTTGCTCACAGGGGGTTCAATCATGAGTGTGATTTCATTCTACTATGTCTAGTTGTGATATCAGAATTTTAACTCCAGTAGTTTTCTTGTACAGTAGAAGAAAGTTAAAGCCTTCCTGAACAGAATACTTCTTTGTGAGCTGATCCAGGGGGCCACCACAGATGGAATTCATTGTGCTGCTGTGATTTGTTACAAGGCAAAAACCGTGAAGGTTCTTGACAATACCTGTAAATTATCAAAGCAAAAAATGCAGGATGCCTTCTTTGTGTGAGGGCTGCAACAGTCATACGGAGGTTGAAGTCCATGTCAGAGAAAGAGATTGGAATACTGACTATGTCCTAGAAGGTGTTCAAAAATTTTCCAGGTACGGGCAGTTCTCTAATGACTAGCAACTTGTCTGACATAACAATCTCTTGGTTTAGTGGGGTAAGGGCTCTAAAAAAATTAATCAAAGAAAAAGAGGTAGCTACAATCACAATGAAGCAGCGTGGGAGCAGCAAACATGCAGAAAGGTAGACAAACCTGATGTCTTATTGAAAAAAGAATGACTTCTCTGCCCTGCCCATCCCCTCCCTCCCCAGTCTAAAACAGTTGCACAGCCCCCATCTCTCTGAATGTCCAGGCAATGTTTGATATGTTGCCATTCAGGAATTACACTTATCAGGGAGATTAGACCCAGAACTGTAAGGCTGAAAAGAACTGTCTTAAGGTACAGTTACCACCTGAAGGAAGTTATCATTAAAGCTGTGTCAGGTTGATATAAGAATAGATTATTTTATTTTACTTCTTGAAATATTCAAGAATTATATTCATATTCTTCATATTAACCTTTACTATGGTCCTCAGGTGAAGGAAGTACCTCACATTTAATTTATTTATTGCAGAGTAGGGAACTATGGCATTACAAAACTGTATTTTGTAAATTTTTATCTATTTTCCAGTGCATAACTCCAGGTAGTGCCCGGTCGCTGGTCCTATGTTACTTCAGGCTCTGCAAATCACTAAAAGCAAAGATGTTATCGAGAGTGACTGTTCAGTGCAGTAGAGGACAAGATTTGTGTCTGGATGTAACCTTCAGGGTTATGAAATCTCACTTTCCTGATTCATATTAATCTGTAATATGAATTATACCGATATCGCATACAAAGGTACATACATAGAATCATATAGAATCATAGAATAGTTAGGGTTGGAAAGGACCTTAAGACCATCTAGTTCCAACCCCCCTGCCATGGGCAGGGACACCTCACACTAAACCATGTCACCCAAGGCCTCGTCCAACCTGGCCTTGAACACTGCCTCCCTGGGCAACCTATTCCAGTGCCTCACCACCCTAACAGGAAAGAATTTCCTCCTTATATCCAATCTAAACTTCCCCTGTTTAAGTTTTAACCCATTACCCCTTGTCCTGTCACTACAGTCCCTAATGAAGAGTCCCTCCCCCGCATCCCTATAGGCCCCCTTCAGATACTGGAAGGCTGCTATGAGGTCTCCATGCAGCCTTCTCTTCTCCAGGCTGAGCAGCCCCAACTTCCTCAGCCTATCTTCATATGGGAGGTGCTCCAGTCCCCTGATCATCCTCGTGGCCCTCCTCTGGACTTGTTCCAACAGTTCCATGTCCTCTTTATGTTGAGGACACCAGAACTGCACACAATACTCCAAGTGAGGTCTCACGAGAGCAGAGCAGAGGGGCAGGATCACCTCCTTCGACCTGCTGGTCACGCTCCTTTTGATGCAGCCCAGGATACAGTTGGCTTTCTGGGCTGCGCGTGCACACTGAAGCCAGCTCATGTTCATTATCTCATTGACCAAAACCCCCAATTCCTTCCCCGCAGGGCTGCTCTGAATCTCTTCTCTGCCCAACCTGTAGCTGTGCCTGGGATTGCTCCGACCCACGTGTAGGACCTTGCACTTGGCATGGTTAAACTTCATGAGGTTGGCATCAGCCCACCTCACAAGCATGTCAAGGTCATGTCATGCATGTATGCATTCAGTAACATTTGTTTTAAGAATAACAAAACAGTTTCACTCTGTACAATGCACAGCACAATAGAAACCTAGTCTGTAGCTGGGACTCCCACAGTTCTAGCACGAATCACTGGGAGGCCTCTAGGGTTTTTTTTCCTTTTCAAATCCAGTTACCACTTACTTGACCAACCTTGGCAATAGCTCAGTCTGTTTTAACCAGCTCAAGACTCTATGATAAAGATCGCATAAAACTTTGCATGAGGCAGGCCCTGAGGTTGTGGTTCTAGTTAAAGGTCTTGCACAGTGATATGCACAAATTCAGTGAGTTGTCATGTGGTTCAAGCTGCACATTTAGGACCTAATAAGGTCCTAAATAATGATATTAGTTCTTACTACCATGTTTCAATTTTGCATTTTTACTTTAGGACCTCTGATTCTTATCCCATACTTATACGTATTTAATTATTACAAAGGACAACCCAACAGTAAGCTTTTATTTCTGAATTTCTGATTTTTTTCCCTAGATTTCTGAAATTTGAATAACCTATATCCAAAGAATGTCTATTAAACTCTAAGAATGATCACATTATCTGAGTGCCAAAACTGGTTGAAGATTACATGCTTTTATGACTTTACAGGATTGGGTTGAAGTATTTGTAAGAAACATGTTAAAATCTCAAACTTTCAAGTAGCTGTAGCTGTCAGATGTGTGAAGAATACAGCGTATGCCTTTATAGGAATCTCCAGCTGCTGGCTTTAAAACAACTGGTACTGTATTTTGCAGTTCACAAGTTGCAATGGTAACGAAACAAACAACAAAAGAGAGGACAACTTGTGCTCCTTCATGTGAAAGACAAACACAAAGCTGCAAAGTTATTGGTGTCAGTTTGCTCAGAGTCTATACTTTAGAATAGAGCACTTCTGAAGGAGCAAAGGTTCAAGCTTTGCTAAAGACACAGCTCATCGTATGGGTAAATATACATGTGGGTAAATACATTTCTGTCTGCCTCCTGTGATAAATTATCATCAGCTTTCTCTCAGCTGCAGTTATTTAGCATCATTAGACAGCTGTTATCGCTATAGGAAAAGACAGTTGAACCTCACATAAAAATATGTATATTTTATAGCATTTGAATGCTTTGCTACATTGTAATGTCTGGCATAAGCATAAAGGGATTTCTTTTACTATTTATTGGTTACTATTATTCTAATCAGATTCTTTTGGAATGATAACATTAGGTGCTTACCTACTGGTACTTCAAGGGCCTCATCATTTATCAGGGAACAGAATGGAAAACATAATTTTTATGTAAATGCAGAAAAAATGCTAATAAAAAGTGCTTAGATTAACTGTCAGTATTGCCATAAGGGTATAATGACTACCTTGACTTTTTTTTTTTTTTTAATCTTACTGTTTGCCATGTATTACTTGGGAGATTCTGACAAGTATTAGGTGTTAAAATCTGATTAACAGATTTAATGTCTGGCTGGACAAACAATTTTTGTTCTGATATGGAATGAAAATGAGAGCTGTCACTAGGATGCAGTAAAGTAGAAGAGAATATATGCGGATTTTTAAGTGTATAAAGCAGAACTCCTGAAAAATAGTCATGTGTTTTAATTTGTGAGTCAGGATGGGGTAAGGATGAGAGATGTTTAGAAAAGCAGGAACTGAATCTAAATCACAGAAGGATCATGCTCTGTGTCAGGCAAAACAAGAATATGAACTTGAATTTCTAAACAGTATATTGGTGGCTATTATGGCATACTTTTAACCTCAAATTATGAACGGCTTCATTCTTATTTCAGAACAGAACAAATTCTTTTCTAACTAGTCTGTATATTGCTAGCAATTTTTTCTCTAGTGATGTCGGTTTCAACATGGATGTTAAGAGCGTTTTATTTCCCAGTTGCTGCTCAAGAAAAGAGGTGCAGATCTGAGTTCATGAAATAGATAGTATTTATGATAATACAGGAAAAATTCCCAAATTGCAAAAGACCCAGACAGTGGAACCTTCCCTCACTAGACACAGCTCTTAACTGCTGTGAAAGAAAGCTGTCAGAAATGTTACCCATGGTTCATATAGCTTGTCCCTGATTATTCTAATTTTACTTTCAAATCTAAGTACCACCCGCTTATGGATATTTAGCCTCCTTTGGCACAGATGATATTAAAAGTATGTATGGTCTAACGCCCTGACTCTGAAGCGTCAAGTACCCAGCTTCAAGTATGGTGGTTTCTGGGAGAGCTTGGGGTAACCCTGGTGTCATATGTACCCAGAGCTCAGTGAAAGACAATGGCACCTTCTCAGGAAGCTGCCATTTGCTGTCTGTCCTAGTCTAGAAGGAAGCTGATATACAAACTTTTGAAAATAAGTGCCTTTTAAAAAACATTACTAATGGTACAGTCATCCAGTGGGGCATGCTGACACTGATGTGTTGTGTTGTGTTGTTAGTAGTTCCATTGTATAGCAATAGTCTTGCTCTTGTTTATAAAGTCATTCAAGCCATGCCAGAATTGTGTGCAATATGACATGAAATATAAAAATAATTGTACCAGAGAATAAATTAATTTTTAATCTTCTCGGAATCTTCATAAAACAACTACTTCACAAAAACCAGATTTTATTTGTCTCAAAATAACAGTTCCACAACTACTTTGCTGATCTATTTAACATTTGATTATACTGTACCTACATTCACTGAATAGACCCAGTGCAAAAATTCTTTGGTTTTGACTAGTAACTGATGGTTTTAAAGAACCTGTGGTGTTTTGTATAGTTCTTTTGCAAGGTATTTTCTATTGGTCTCTGTTGAAGCCCCAGACTCTCTTTATTAAAGGATTTTTACACCAAAATACTGGAAAGAGCATACTTCACATTTATGTGCTTTTGTTTTAGCCTAGAGAAAGAATAAAGTTTTTTTCAGACTCTTCAGAATAAGAACATACTGACTCTGAAAATCACCTGATGCTTTCACTGAACCTCAGCTGAAAGCTCCAGGTGATTGTTTCTTGTGACTGACTAAAGCAGTCTTATGTCAAACCTCTTATATACAAAGACTTGTAACAAAATGGGCTATTTGGAAAAACAGCCTTGTAGGAAACAGGCTTTCATGTAGACAAAAAAGATCACAAAGTTGAGCAGTTGTGAAAAGGTGTTAAGTACTTGGAAATCTTCACCTATTTACTGCATTTCTTTTTTGTCATTCTCCAAGTTCTATAGACAAGTAATTGCATTTGAATTGCAGGCTCATGAAGACAAAAGATCAATGACTTGAATTAAAAATTCTTGTTGAAGATTTTAGCTAATCTTACAAAGGACCATTTTCAATTGCCAGGTTGGTTTACTTGAACCTTACTGCAGGTGCTCCAGTTTTTTTTGTCTCATGCATCCTATCTGGAACCTGTGGGTGATCTGACTAGGAGTCCGTTGTTATTACGACCCCTCCTGTGGGCCTCTGTGTTTGGCATTTAGCCACGTGCAAAGAGACTGTAAGTAGGCACTGTGTGGTTTACAAATATTAGCAATTTTTTATTGTCTAACACTGGGCTGTTTCTCAATCTGATGGATGTGTAAGTGCCCTTGCAATGGCTCTGTGGGCTTTCATAGTCAATCTTGAGGTTTCCTAACATTCACTGTACTGCAATATTACTACCAAAGTGCTACAGCTTAACTGATCTGAGAATAAATTGGTTTCCTTGTGTCACTGTTTCCCACTGTCATCAGTTTTAGTGTTACTCCGGAGAGCAGTACCTGTGCTGACTCCTTTTGTGGAGGAAGCGAGTGCATGGTAATGTCATGGTAACCTGGTAGATGTGATTTGGAGTGATCTGGATTATGTTCATTATCCCAGTCCCTGTAGCAAGGGTTGATGTCTTGTGTCCTGCACACTGTACCTTATTTATCCTACATCACCTTTTCAGGGACTGAGTTGTCCTCTGGCATATTGAATGACCTGATTTGCAGCATAGTCTAACTTTCATCAATAATTCTGGAGTTGCTCCAGTCTCTTTCAGCTGCTGACCTTACTCCTTGATTCAGATTCCTAAGGTACTAGGTTTTCTGTGCTATTCATCATATTTTGCTGAATTTGTTTCATCACAGAGACTGAGCATACAGCCTCTTCTCTGAAGGCTCAATATTACACCTTTTCTTCCAGCTTAGTGCAATGTTTACTTTTTTATTCCTTAGCTATGCACTAAATTGCCATTTGCCTCTCTCCAGAATCCCATCTCTGCTTTCAGACCTGTTTTCTTTTCTTTTCTCTTGCTTTTTATAGAATCATAGAATAATAGAATAGTTAGGGCTGGAAAGTAAGATCATCAAGTTCCAACCCCCTGCCATGGGCAGGGACACCTCACACTAAACCGTGTCATCCAAAGCTCTGTCCAACCTGGACTTGAACACCACCAGGGATGAAGCATTCACAGCCTCCCTGGGCAACTCATTCCAGTGCCTCACCACCCTCACAGTAAAGAATTTCCTCCTTATATCCAATCTAAACTTCCCCTGTTTAAGTTTTAACCTGTTACCCCTTGTCCTGTCACTACAGTCTCTAATGAAGAGTCCTTCCCCAGCATCCCTATAGGCCCCCTTCAGATACTGGAAGGCTGCTATGAGGTCTCCACGCAGCCTTCTCTTCTCCAGGCTGAACAGCCCCAACTTCCTCAGCCTATCTTCATACGGGAGGTGCTCCAGTCCCCTGATCATCCTCGTGGCCCTCCTCTGGACTTGTTCCAACAGTTCCATGTCCTTTTTATGTTGAGGACACCAGAACTGTACACAATACTCCAAGTTGTCTCCAAGAACTCCCTTTACTCTTTTGAAGAGCAGAGGCAAATTAGCTGCAGTCCTCCCCAAAGTTCATGGCACAGAAACTCAGATATCTGCCCCAGATTTA